CCGCGCTAACGACCGGATACTTTCGGAAGCTCTCATTGGTAGTTCGGCAATAGGAAATGCGTGGTGCATCTCTATCGTATCTTCCCCCGACGTGGGAGCTAACTTCAAACTCAGTTGAGAAGCTCGAACTGCTCGTGCCCCATTTGCCGTGCTGATTACCAATGAGGTGGTTCGTCCACCCAGGTCGTGTTCTCGTGCAAAACTCTCTTTCACGAGGGTGGTATCTAATCCACTGTCTAAAAACGCCACGGCTTGGATCATGCCACGTGGAGTTTTCACTTGGATTGGTATTAATCCCAAGCGGACCGACCCACTTGACACCCGTCCAATACTGCAGACGGATTTTGGAGTATCTCCCACAGTGTTTGCTGGTTCTGTCGACCCGGCCATTATTTGTTCACTTCTCGACTCTTCCATCGTGGTGTAATAAGGGTTGATGTCGAACCCTGTAATTGTCTTGACCACAGCTGGTTCGCTTTCTGCATAGGACTGCTCTGTGGGTATTGCTCAAGCATAAAAGGCAGGACCTTGATTTTTAGCTATTGTCCAGCTGTCCATCACCCTAATTGCCAAAAACTCTGGGCGGGTAACAAGGACACCTGTGAACAGTTTGCACTTAATCGGTCTTTGTGGGTCATATGAAATTAAGTTGGTGCTCACCCAGTTGTGTGGGGTACGGGAACCTCGAGCTCCAGACGGCGCAAAGTTGGTTGAAGGTCTTGCGGTCCTGATGCTTTCCCTCGTTAATTGACCGAATCGACTATTTGCTATGCGAGATTAGCAGCCTATGAATTTAGTGAGTTCGTCAAATGTCGCCTCTCTGTTTCTTTTCTCGATTTGATCGGTCTCGGTCCCCCAGGCTGTCTGCATTTCGGCAGGCAAACATCTGACTATCGATTCGAGTGTATGAAGTGCATCCAAGTCCGAACGATATTCAAGATGGTTGAGGGCGATCCTGCAGTTCTGCATCTTGATAGAGACCTAGTATCGCCTCGTGTGCGCCTCGCCTCTGCTATCACCCCGTCAATCATTTTTCTCGCCACTCAGAATGGTTGGCCAAACATCTCCTTCAGTAAGTACATTTCTAGCTCTCGGGTAGCCCACTTCCCGGTCCAGCATTACACACCCTTTTATAGCCTCTGTGACTTTCCTCCGACAGTAGTGTAGTAAAAACAGAAACCTTTGCCCCGCATCGTCTGTTTTGCATTCAACGAAATTTTTGTATTGGCAAATGAATTGGCAATATTGTTCGGGATTACCATCAAAAGGTGTCAGTTCTACTCTTGAAAAATCGACGTTTGCGTGGGCAAACGTCCTCTGCTTGTGGATGAATTCTTTATTCGGAGAGAAGCCACGGTGTGCCGTCTCAGAGCGAGGTGATGTTGTGCCGTTGTATTCGGTTCTTTCACGTTGGGCCTGTTCTATCTACTGCTAGCTAATCTCAACTCATGCTCTAAATCAGAAACCCGCAATCCAAATATATCAACATCCTTAATATCTGAATCTAAACAAGAAACAGCACTGACAGGACTAACAGATCTAACATTTTCTAAAGAATCAAAATGACCTACATCCCCCCAGTGACTTGACGGGTTACTTCCTGTTGGGTTCCAGTTTCCTTGGTTCCTCGTCTGGGCATCTTCGAAAAAGTTTTCTCGTTTGATTCCGATTTGAGTACTGTAAGCCAACCAATTTGCACTTGAGTGACGCGTAGCTGAAACCAATACGAATCCCGAAAGAAAACATGATTGATCCGTAATGTTCTACAGTACTGAATTAGCGAAATCATTACATAATGTACAATTAAGCAAACCTCAAATATGCGGCCAAAACCACTCAAGCAAGCGAGCCAAATGTGATGTCCAGATAGAGCCAAATAATCGCTTACGTTCTCTGACCACACCAAGTTCAAATGTGCCGGGAATCGAATTAAAAGATAAAGAATATTGTATGATGTTTGTGATTGAGAAATGTCAATAGAGAAGCAACAGACAGATAGAATTATATTACCCTGAATCATCATGGGTTTGGAAGGATTTTCAAAACTTCAAAATGAAATACAGTTATCTGTTGGATTCAGATGTGGGACCCTAATGTAAACCCATCAAAGTGCAACGCATTGAACACTGACGGCTATCCAATTAGAGTAAGCACGGAGGTGGAAACCACCGAACTAAGGCTCTTAGCCCAAACGAACTACTAAGGGATAGTATTTTCCGAAAATTACAAGCCATGCGAACAGTGTAAAGCCGCAGCACAAAGGGCGAGAGGTCAACTATTACAGTTGAGAAATACACTGGCCACTTGGAAGGCAGAAGTCTTTATCCCGCTGTATAAGGCACTGGTGAGACCTCACCTAGAATGCTGTGTCCAGGCCTGG